GGCAGGACACATGCCGTCATCTTGCACTCCCTGTTTCCTGTCCACTCTTCTGTTTCCTCTGCTCCCACCTCCCCTTCCCTTCTTTCTTTCCTCTTTTTGCTTTCTTTTTTTTGGGGGGGGGGGTTAGGCTGGAGGTACACACTTGGTGCTGCTCAGGGCTTTACTCCTGACTCTGCACCCAGGAATGATTCCTAGAGGAACTTGGAGGAACTATTTGGGGTGCGAGGGATCAAACTCAGGTTGGCCATGTGCAAAGCGGGTACTTTATGCACTTTGCTACCTGCCAGCTCCTTTCTCTTATTTAATTTTTGCTTTTCGGGTCACACCCAGTGATGCACAGGGGTCACTACTGGCTCTGCTCTCAGGAATTCCTCCTGGCAGTGCTCGGGGGACTCTATGGGAATCGAACCCTGCTCGGCTGCATGCAAGGCAAATGCCCTCCCTGCTGTGGTATCACTCTAGCCTCCTTTTCTCTTATTATTATTTTTTTTTGGGGGGGTCACACCCGGTGATGCAAAGGGGTTACTCCTGGCTCTGCACTCAGGAGTTACTCCTGGTGGTGCTCAGGGGACCATATGGGATCCTGGGAATCGAACCCGGGTTGGCCGCGTGCAAGGCAAACGCCCTCCCCGCTGTGCTATCGCTCCAGCCTGTTGCAATACATTAGGGGACTAAAACAAATCACTTAGGGAAATTACACAGCAAAACCTGAAAATGCTGTTTCAGGGGTGAGTGCGGCAAAGACACCATTCCTACACCATTCCTTCAGACGATGTGCCTGAGCCCACGTTCCTGCGGGAGGTCAGGCCAGCCCAGGAAGGTGAGACGTGAGCGGGAGGGGCCGAGTGCCAAGGACACAGGGCTGAGATGGACAGAAGTGAGGGAAGGCAGAATGGGCAGGAAACAGGAATCTTCGCTGGGGACAGCCGCACTGGTGTGTCCAGCCACTGTGTGTCCAGCGATGCGGTCCTGTCACTGCTCATCCGTCTCCCCTGCCCACCCTCAAGATACAATCCCTTTAGACAAACAGCAAATGTGTTCGTTCAAATACACAAGGACCCTCTTTTAAGTCACTACCCCCATAGGCTGGAACATGTGCACCGTCAGAGAAAGCAGCTCCTGCCTCTCGTGATGCTTGAGTCGAAGCAGTAAATACCAAACGTGCCTCCTGCTCCTGATGCTTTTTCTTTTATTTCTGGCTCTAGTTTTCTTAATCCTCCGGAGGAGGAGGCAAAGAACAGCCCCTGGGAGCAGCTACTCACGTCTGCAGGTAGAGAACCAGGGAGGCGTTCTGCAGGCCCACGGGGTTGCAGCGGATGGTGTAGTTGATGGTCTGGGCTGCGGTGAAGGCGGGTCTCCGCCAGTGCAAGAAGACCGAGGACGAGCTGTTGGCCTTGGCGTAGAGATGGTGAGGGGGCGGCGGTGGTGGCACCATGCGGTCACGGACGGCTGGCGGGGAGGACAAGGCTGGTCTGAGAGACGGCAGGGGAGAGCTAGGAAAGGGGCTGAGCCCCACACCCTGGTCTGGAGGGGCCTTCAGGTGTACCCCCACTCCAGGGCTCCAGGCTCGCAGGGAGTGAGTCTGAGTGCCCCAAGAAGAGCCACAGAAGAAAGGAATTATCTGCCCTTCACAGACGGCAGACATGGGCCGAGAGGGGGCCCAGCCAGCCAGCACTGCACAGAAGGCCCACAGACACTTCAGACTCGACCCATTTCCTCTTCCACAGCCACAAACCGAACAAGCACTGAGCAGAATGGAAACAGCACATGAGGGGCTGAAGCACAGTGCACGGGGCCAGGCCTTCGCCCTGCAACGGGCGATCGAGGGAAGATCCCATGCCCCCCATACGACCCCCCGAGCACTGTCTGGAGTAATCCCTGTGTGTAGGGTCAGGAGTAAGCCCTGAGCATTGCGCGTGTGACCCCCGCAAAGGACCTAGTCCCCTCCCCCCAACACACACACACACACACACACACACACACACACACACCCCTAGAGAAACTGCTCGGGTCTTCAGCGATTAAAACCCAGCACATGTCACTGAAATGTTTGCTGAGCACATATTTGTTCAATATATGACACTGTGCACAGAGAGGATGAAAGTCACAGACCCTCTAAACCCCTGCGGAGCAGTGAGAACCGCCTGAGGGAAGCAGAGGGGGCGCCCAGCACGGCCTGAGCTACTCACACACGCAGCCCGGGGTGCTGACGGTCTGGTCAGCCTGGTAGCCGTCTTCAAGGCTGCTGTACGCCAGCAGCCGCACGTGGTACTTCCTCCTGGGACCTACAGAGACATGGACAGGTCACAGTCAGGACAGGTTTGGGGAGCAAAGAGTCTAGAGTCTTCCTAGAATGTAAAGACCTTCGAGGGTGGGGGTATGGTGCCGCCAGCAGGTCAACCTGTACCTGCGGGGCGAGTGCATCAGCAGCTTAATGGTGCCTTCAGGCTTCCTGATACCCCAAAATTGCCGCTGTGCCTTTGGCCAGACCCCAACAACTTGGAAACAAGTTTACCAAGAAAGTAAATGGCCAGAAGTTAGGTATGTGGGAGCCACATCCACAAACCACCTCCAGCTCAGCTAGACAAGCTCGCTTATTGGCCTTATTTCAGAGACCCATAGATACATCTCGAAAGAGATCAAGAGCCACAGTTAATCTCGGACCCACGCATGACTGAACAGACTGGGATAAAACGGTGGGGGGTTGGGTCAGCCTGGTGCCCACCCAAGCAGAGCCCCCAACAAGCCGCTTGCTTCCACAATCCAAAATTGCTGTTATATCCCCGGCCTGACTCCACTGTCTCAGGACAGACCTCACCAAGATATAATCTGCTGAAAATTCAAGTATGTGGGTTTTGTGACTGAAATCTCCAGGTTTTCTCAGAGTTGGGATGGGTTACCTCCCCCCTCACCTCTGTACTTCCAGAAGCCTCGGCAGTCACATACAAACCCCAAAGTTGCCGACCCAATTGAAAAGCTACTCCGACCTTACCATCCTGTTAAGAATACTGAATGCCCTGAACAAACACCATGAACTGTTAGCACCTGTATTGCAAACCATGATGCACAAAAGGAAAAGAAGAGAGAGAGCAAGAAGGAAAGAGCCTCCCATAGAGGGAAGCTGAGGGTAGGGGGTCGGGCGTTGGGGAATGGTGGTAGGGAAACAGGGGACATTGGTGGTGGGAGATGTACCCTGCGGAGGGAGGGGTACTGGATCACTGTATGACTGAAACTCAATTATGAACATGTAATGGTTGACCTCACGGATATTCAATTTAAATTTTTTTTTAAAAAAGTAATGTGGAATTCATGCCCACTTTAATCAGTTTAATCAATGACTGAATAAATAGCAGTAATCCTCCATTAAAAACAAAAAACATAAAACCTTTAAGGGTCAGAGAAACTGTGCAGGGGCTCAGGTTCTTGCCTTGCACGCAGCTCTGCTGGGTTTGAACCCCTGCAGGCTTTCCTGAGCTCAGAGCCAGGAGTGAGTCCCGAGTGTGACCAGGTGGGGCCCCCAAACCAACCTTTTGAAAGTGTCAAGGTAAGCGAAAAGAAAACATTTCCCTCCCTCTCTACTCCACACAGTGACTTCACAATTCTCCTTAAGAGGACGAGACCCCTGGGCTGCTGTACCAACTACTCAACACTGACTCCAGATCACGGGCATCAGGGCATGGCCACGACCACACTTCCTTCTTCATTCAACCGACCAGAGAGAAGCTCCCCATTCACAAAGGCCCGGGATGGGATCAGGGAAGTGGCCCAGGAGTCAGGTGAATGCCTCACCCCCAAGGGCCCCTCTGTGACGGCCCCAGCTGGACCTGAGCAGCATTGCCATCTCCAGGTCTGAGAACCGAGTCCAGTTGAGACTTCCACTCCCGCCCACTCTCTGAGACTGCAGGACATTGTGTCCTACCCTCCTGCTCATCCCCTGATAAACAAAAAAATTCAAGATTTGGGTTGTGCAATGGATAATTTGTAAGAGGTTCCATCATGAAGGGGGGTTTCTACTCAGGAACGTCTCTCTACTTAAAGCACGGAGAGCAAAGCAAGACTTCTTGCCCCAAAGCTCAGGAGAATCAGAACGGTCACAGTTCACTCCCTTGACACAATGTCCAGAGCCAGGAGAGAATAGGAATCAAGGTGCCTGTCAGAGGAAGAGAGAAAGGTACCCAGCAGGGCTGCACCCCTGGAGACCCCAGGGGTTACCCCCTGCGCCCCTGAGCTCACTGGTATGGCTTAAACATCACTGGGCACAGCAAGGCTTGAGCAACACACCCTTGAACTTTGGCATCAAACTGGCTGCGAATCTTCGGTGGGATCCCCAGAGTCTTTTGAACACCATGTAGGATATGCAGAAAGGGAGAAATGTCATGACTACATTGTTATTTAAGTTTATTTCTAAGCATATCCTTTCAAGGTGGGGATGGGTGGGTTTCTGGTCAGTAGTGCTCAGGGCTAACCCCTGGCTCCGTTTCAAGCCCAGGTCGGCTGTGTGCAAGCCAAACTCCTTCCCGGCAGCACAGACTCTCCAGCCCCCTCTAGGTGGACCCTTTCCCACAAACCTGAATTTTCAAAGTGAGAGCAAAATTCAACAAGGATGAGTGTGTGCGCCCTCTGCTGGTGGCTATAATAGCATCACAGCATGCAGCGAGATTCTGTCCTTAGCATATCAATTCAACAAAAATCCCAGATTCTTGGAGGCCTTTAAGGAAATAATTATAAAACTGAAGGTAAAGGTAAAGGTAAAGGCCCTCCCGTTGATCGTCGATTTGCTCGAGCGGGCCCAGTAACGTCTCCATTGGAGACTTTTTTGTTGTTACTGTGTCTGGCATATCGAATACGTCATGGGGAGCTTGCCAGGCCCTGCCTTGCGGGCGAGATACTCTCGGTAGCTTGCCGGGCTCTCCGAGAGGGGCAGAGGAATCGAACTCGGGTCAGCCATGTTGGCCGCTTGTAAGGCGAACGCCCTACCACTGTGCTATCGCTCTAGCCCAAAAAATATGGAACGCTTCACGAATTTGCGTGTCATCCTTGCGCAGGGGCCATGCTAATCTTCTCTGTATCGTTCCAATAAATCTCTTTCCAACTATATTGAAGCTGGAGAAACGAAACTCATTTGTGGTTAGCAAAGATTGTGTTTAATATTTGCAACCTGATGATTGTGTTTAATATTTGCAACCTTCAACCTTTCCAGCATCCAAGCAAGCACTGGCAAGTGTCATCATCACATCTCCAGCACCCGCCCAAGTGGCCTGAGTGAAACTTTGTACCTTAAAGCAACAGTACCCTATTCTTCCTGCGCCCCTCCATCCTCTACTTCTATAAGCTGAGCTTTTTAGGTTCCATGTGTGAGATGATGTCCTATTGTTTCTCTCTGCCTGGTTATTTCTGTAGCACTGTCCTCCCATTGTTCATCGATTTGCTCGAGCGGGCCCAGTAACATCTCCATTGGGAGACTTGTCGCTACTGTGTTTGGCATACGGAATACATCACAGGTAGCTTGCCAGGCTTTGCCATGCGGGCAGGATACTCTCGGTAGCTTGCTGGGCTCTCCGAGAGGGGCAGAGGAATCGAACCCAGATTGGCAAGGTCAGCCGCTTGCAAGGCAAACGCCCTACCACTGTGCTATTGGTCCAGCCTGGTTATCTCACTGAGCATAATATCCTCCTATAGGTTCATTCATATTGGACAAGTAGCAGGACTTATTTTTTTTAAACTTTTTATTATTATTATGGTTTTGGGGGCCAACCTGGCTGTACTCATGTCTTACTCTTGGTTTCGTGCTTGGGGGATGATATGCAGTGCCAAGGATTGGACCCAGGTCGGTTACATGCAGCAAGACAAGTGACCTACCTGCTGTACCATTTCTCCTCTTTCCTTTCTATTAATGAGAATGCGTGTGTGTGTGGGGGGGGGGTGTACAATCTTTTGTTTTTATCTGTATCCTATTATAATCAATGTTGCAATGAACACAAAAATGCCATTGGTTTATTGAGACAATGACTTCGTTTCTTTCGGATTTATAAATGAAAGAATGACAGTTGGGTCCTATGTCAATACTAATCTTATTTCTGTATTATGTGCCTCAGTGTAAAAAAAATCCTCAATTTCCTAAGTCATTTTTTATATATATTATATAAACATACTCTGAATCACAGAATAAAAATATATCTGAAATGAATCCAAACCTTAAAACTAAAAAAAAAAACCAAAACAGGAAGATCATTACACTTTCCAAAGTAATTTAAGAGTCTGTGCGAACATTTCTGAAGTGAGATATGTACTTGGTTTGAGGCCCCATCCTCAACACTCTGGGGTTACGTGGGCTCGATGATCAGGGTCCCACTCACAGTACTCAGACCATGCACGACTGGGCCTGGACTCCTGTGTGCACCCAGAACAGTGCTCTCTCTGACCTGTATCTTAGTACAAAACTGAATTAAAAGGATGCTCAGAAAGATACCAGAAAGGAGACCCCAAACTTTTATTTTTTAAAAATGGGGCCACGTCTGACCATGCTCAGGGGCCGTTCCTTGCTCTTCACTCAGGAATCACTCCTGGCAGTGCTTGAGGGCCATATGGGGTGCTGGGAATCAAACCCAGGTGGGCTGTGTGCAAGGCAGGGACCCTCCCTGCTGTACGATCATTCCCACCCAAGAGTCCCAATTTAGACCCCTTGCCAAGAGCCACCTGCCCCCTTAGCACTGTCACAAACAGCAGCCTGGATGGCCTCTGAGAACTGCCAGCCTGAGCAGGATGGCACTCTTGGGCTGAGCTGGGAAAGACCCACTGACATTCGCTCCTGGGATTTGGAATGGCAGTATAGCTGGTCAGGTGCCTGCCTGGCATGTGGCTGGCCTCGGTTCCATCCCCAGCACCATATGTGGTCCCTTAATCCCCACCAGCAGTGATCCCTGAGCAGAGCCAAGAGTCAACCTTGAACACCAGTAGGTATGGCCCTCAAACCGGAATTTATAAGAGATACCACTTATCTGTAGCCTGCAGCTTACTCTCTCGAAGAGGACATATGTTTCGGTGGTGTCTCCCCCTTGTCTTGAGCGGTGCCAGGGACTGCACCCCGGGCTTCACACATCCTGCAAGACCACCTGCCCCCAGAGCTATATACCCCTGACCCAAGAAACTTGTTTAGCTTAAATTCAAAGTGCTGGGCCAGGGACAAACTGAGCACTGGGCTGCAGGGCTCTGCGGAGTATATAAGGGATTAAAACATACTCAATCTCAAAAATCGCTGATTCTTTTGTTGTGTTACTCGAGAGACCCTGGCTCACCACTGGTCACCTATTTGTTAGAAATGTCTCTCTCAGGGGCCGTGGGGAGCCCTACTCCAGCATCAAGAGAAGCATGATCAGGCTCAGCTATGGGAGGAAGCAGAATCGCTTCACAGTGAACAGGGAGGGAAGGATACGAAGGGAAAACCAAGGGAGTGAGGGCCAATATATCTTTTTGTTGTTTGTTTGCTTTGGGGACACACCCAGAGGTGCCCAGAGCTTACTCCTGGCTCTACACTCAGGAATTATTCCTGGCAGTGCTCAGAGCACCATATGGGAGGCCGGGGATGGAACCCAGGTCAGCTGCATGCGAGTAAAACACCCTACCTACTCTCCCTATATTTATCACTCCGGCTGCAGGGCTGACATATTAAGTCCAGGTACATGCACGGAGTATTACATACATGAGCTGGAGAACCCAAGTTCTAAATAGCTGCAGTTCAGTCCACGCCTCCTGCTGGATCAGGAGCAGAGTTCCCAAACCCACACTTTGAAACACCCCCAGGACTGCTTGGAGCCCTTCTTCAGGCACGGATATTCTGTGGTTCTGTGCAGCAACACAGAGCAGCCTTAGGCCGTGTGGTTTGAGAAAACACAGTCGCCAGGAGCTGCCCCAGTGAACAATGTGGCCTTCTCAGAAGCCACCAGGGAAGGACCGAGGGAGAGGGAGAGCGGATCCCAGCACCTTCCACACACAACACTCAACAGGGCTCATTTCCCACTGGTTTGGGGCGTGATGATTCAGAGCGCCATGTGGAGTCAGGGTTAAACTTGCTAAAGATTTAGCAATCTGTACAGTCAAAGGATTAGGAAAGAAGCTAGAATTAACACAGGTCTGACGTTTAGTTACGTGGTTTCCGATGATTCAGTTTTTGAGTGACCTCTTGTATTTGGGGCTTTTGCCCCTTTTTGTTTTTGTCTTTCCAGGACTCTGATGTTCTCAAGTGACTGGTCACAGCCAAATGGACTTTCTTCCTTAGTGGAGGGGGGGGAGGGTCAAAGTAGGTCACAGCTGGAGATCTACTGCCTGGAACAGGGTGTCACAATTCCCTTTATCTTTGTCTCACCTTCTTTGCTCTCTAATCCTCATCACCAGCTCACTGGCCTGAGTTTGTTTTATATAAGTAGAAATGAGAAGGACTCAGGCTGGCCGGGAGAGTCCTGAGGGGGGAGATAGTCCAGTGCACAGACTGGAGAATTCGGGTGTTTTTTGTTTTGTTTTGCTCTTTGGGTCACACCCAGCGATGCTCAGGGGTTACTCCTAGCTCTGCACTCAGGAATTACTCCTGGCGGTGCTTGGGGGACCCTATGGCATGCGGGGAATCAAACCCAGTTGACTGTGTGCAAGGCTAAATGCTCTACCCACTGTACCATCATTCCAGCCCCAGAATCAAGCATCAGTAAGACTCAACTCTCACGTATTCCACTGAATTATACTGGCTGATGAACAAGCAAGAGGGCTGGAGCGATAGCACAGAGAGTAAGGCGTTGTACACAGCCGAGCCGGGTTCGATTCCCCTGCCCCTCTCAGAGAGCCCGGCAAGCTACCGAGAATATCCCACCTGCACAGTATAAGCCTGGCAAGCTACCCGTGACGTATTGGATATGCCAAAAACAGTAACAAAAAATCTCATAATGGAGCAAATCGATGAACAACAGGAGGACAGTGCTACAGTGTTCACAACCAGGCATTCATTTCCCTCAGACTACAACTCAGAATAAGAAAAATAAAACAACAATAAGAGTCCCTGTAATAACAAAGTCTTTTAAAGGTACTGGGCGACATACTCTCGGTAGCTTGCCGGGCTCTCCGAGAGGGACGGAGGAATCGAACTCGGGTTGGCCATGTTGGCTGCATGCAAGGCAAATGCCCTCCTTACCCACTGTGCTATCGCTCCAGCCCTCCAACACTTATTAAAATAAGCTAATTACCTTCTGCAAGGATGAAATCTAAGGGCAGATCCTTGCTACATATATCTTTTGGCAGACTCTTGATAAATCTACAAGAACCTCTGACATAACATACCCAGCTGTTTTTTGCAACATTTTCCTAAAGACCACAACCCCCCAAAGCGAGCCCACGGTTTTCACTTGAATAAGTCGCTATACTCCTGCCTGTCACTAGATGGCACCCGTGTGCCTCCAAGGAGAGGCTGAAAGCAGGGGTGTGTGGTGGTGAAACCCACAAGTGACGAGCCAAAACAGACAGGAGCAAGCCTGGCTCCTGCTTAAACATCACGGAGTGAGAGACCTCATAAAATGCAAATAAGGGGAAAGGAAGAAGGGCTGATTTAGATTCCTCGTTGTTGTACTTGCAAATATTTCACGAAACCTACCCCCCCCCCCAAAAAAAGAAAAACTCAAAACAACCCCAAGCCCCAGGAGTTTGATGTTGGTGTACTCATCTGTTCCGTAAAGCCGAAGAGCTGGAAACACTAAAGGCCGTCGTGACTCGGCCCCGGCCAGCACTCACGCACACGCACACACGTGCACCAGCACACATACCTGCACTCATGTGCACATGCCTTGACACATGCCCAGGCTGCGCACCAGCCTGGTCATTACAGCAAACTGCGTGACTCTGTCCTTACTGGTTAAACCCACTGCCAAATGGGTGGAAAAAATGCCATCTACCTTTTGAGGTTGTGGGCAGGAGGGAAATTAAATAGCTCTCATAAAAGTCTCAGAGACTGCCTATGGTTAACAGGCACAAGAGTAATAATACCAGCGTACTGATAAATATAAGCAAAAAATGTGAAATTATCACTATTAATTAGCATTCCATCACTTCTAATTTCTGCTTTTTT